AGCTGACCGGGCACCGCGGCCTTACACTGGCCGCAAACGACGGCCGGCCGTTCCCAGCCTCGCAGCCCTTACACTGGCCACGACAGACGGCCGACCGTTCCCGGCCTCGCGGCCCTACGCTGGCCACGAACGACGGCCGGCCGTTCCCAGCCTCGCGGCCCTACACTGGCCACAAACGACGGCCGAACCGTTCCCAGCCTCGCAGCCCTACACTGGCCACGACAGACGGCCGACCGTTCCGGCCTCGCGGCCCTACACTGGCCACAAACGACGGCCGGCCGTTCCCAGCCTCGCGGCCCTACACTGGCCACAAACGACGGCCGGCCGTTCCCAGCCTCGCGGCTCTACAACTGGCCACAAATGACGGCCGACCGTTCCCAGCCTCGCGGCCCCACACTGGCCACAAACGACGGCCGGCCGTTCCCAGCCTCGCGGCCCTACACTGGCCACAAACGACGGCCGGCCGTTCCCAGCCTCGCGGCCCTACACTGGCCACAAACGACGGCCGGCCGTTCCCAGCCTCGCAGCCCTACACTGGCCACGACAGACGGCCGACCGTTCCCGGCCTCGCGCCCTACACTGGCCACAAACGACGGCCGGTCGTTCCCAGCCTCGCAGCGCTACACTGGCCGACAGACGGCCGACCGTTCCCAGCCTTGCGGCCCTACACTGGCCACAAACGACGGCCGACCGTTCCCAGCCTCGCGGCCCCACACTGGCCACAAACGACGGCCGGCCGTTCCCGGCCTCGCGGCCCCACACTGGCTACAACGACGGCCGACCGTTCCCAGCCTCGCGGCCCCACACTGGCCACAAACGACGGCCGGCCGTTCCCGGCCTCGCGGCCCTACATGCCATCACGTCCCCGATAGCCAGAGACATTAGCCCAGAGGTAGGCTTACAACGGCTGTGTGAATGGCTGCATGTGTCTCATGTCTGAAAATGCCTCTGTACAGCAGCGCACAAGAAGGGTCTGGACTGGGCTGTCTTTGCGTCGCCTGCCGGGAGGTTTGTGCCCTGATGGAATGGTGTGAAGTCTCTGTGTGCCTGACGTCATTTTACCCTAGGTCGCCTTTGGAGCTCCCCAGTAATTACGGAGGTGCCGCTCCCAGTCAGGTCCCTCCCCGAACTCAGCGGTGGGAGGGGGGGGGGGGAGGGGTTCACTCCGCACAGCGCCCCTCAGAGGTGTGGAAGCGCCGACTGACCAGGCAGATCTGCCACGTCGCGCACAACGCTACCACTGTCTTGCAATCTGGTTACATACACGTGGTCGGAGGCTTCGACAGAAACACCCAGGGGCGAAGTTCGGAGCTTCATAGGAGAATGGGGCGCAGCTCAGTTTTGTATGTGTGATTACGCATCGCACCGATTTTTGTTATCTGTCCGGTAACATTAGCTATGTGAAAAACGGAAAAATCCGGACCTAAGTTGTGTGTGAGGGGGTGGGACACCTGGCTCCTGGCCCTCCCTTGGCCGCGCTCCTACTTGCATCCAATAACAAACGCCAGGATTGTCGGATGAATGCCACTCGATTTTGTGGGGCAAGGGGCCAGCATTCCCTCCTCCTTCCGAAATATTTAACATGACACGCGCAAGGCGTGTTAAGTTTTATATTTCGGGGAGTCAATATAACCTTATATATATATATATATATATATATATATATATATATATATATATATATATATGTATATATGCTTTTATGTAGGTTAGATTGACCCCGCCCTGCATGTTTTTTCGAAATGGTTTTAGAAGGGCGTGGCGCAGCCGTGCCAAATGTTGCATAGCTGCAGGACAATTGAATAGCAAATCGTTTGGTAGTAACAATTTAGATAAAGCTTGTAAGGTCGCTGACCTACGGCAGGTCAAAATTAGGCCATGGATTCTGCGAAGTTAATTTGTAGGGAATCATTCAATCTGATGCAGCGAAGGAGTGTTAGACGAGACCATACACCTTCTGAGATGCTTCCTTAGGCAACGCAATAATTGAATGAACAGATTGCATTGATCCAAGGTCAGTTTTGAAAGTCAAACCAAGTAAAAGTCAATCTGTTTATTATTCTAGGGCCTGCTGCATGGGGTGCTTCTGGTGCTTATTTGAATTTACTGATAACAGGAATCGCATAATGCATCTTCCATGCACTTCTCAAAGGTCAGAATAGGTCACTGACCTAAAATGACCCAAGTCAGCATTTTATGTTTAGAAACATACTGCCCAACATAATGTTTGTCACTTATTCAGATGCAATACTCAAAGATGCCTTGTATTTTTTGTCATCCCATGACCTTCGAAAGGTCAAACAATTGCACCGACCTTAAATGATCATGGGATATTTTGCTTAGAACAGGTATTTAGGTTCTGGGGCACTTTGGGGGACAAACCTGGAGATTGACCTTGTTTGACTTTATTTGATCCAAAGGTCGTGATCTAGGAACCCTGAACTTTGACCTGAGTGAGTTGAGGAACAGGCCAACACACCTATAAATTTAGAGTCTCTAGCTCTCTTAGTTCCTGAGATCTCAGGGGGGGGGGGGTCAAACTGACCCACCACCCGAGCGAAGGGGTATCCAACCGGCCACCCGGGGTGCGTGTTAAGACAGTGGGACATATAAGATTTCAAGCATCGAATGTATACATTCAAATGCGTCTGTTTTCTCCTAATTATTCAAGAAGGAATAAGTTAAAAGTACTGTCCTATGCAAGCTCGAAATAAATGATAATTTCAGGCTGCTCGGCCGCGATTTGGGGGGAGGGACGGCACTTCTCTTCATGTTCTCCTCAGCATTGCTGAGAGAAATGTTCCACATTTCAAGTTCAAGTTGTTCCACACAACTTTCCTAAATATCAGACAAGTCGATAAACTAGTTAGCAAATGATCGCTTTAAAATAATACTTAATCTAAAAACAAACCATTGGTACGAGGACATCTATTCTCCAAAGACTATGTCTAGTATGAGCGAAGTGGTTTCATGATCAATGGGACGGGCTAGCTTGATCCGTTTAGGAGAGAAGCGTGGAAGAAGCTTTACTGGGTTATTTCAATGGGACACGCAGCAAGCCGCTTCGGTCCAGATATTGAGCAGTAGTCCAGGATCAAACGAATTCTGCGTTATACACCTCCAAAGCCGTTCGCTTCTTGATCCTGCAGCTTTGAGACGGCAACTGCCAGGTCCGAATGAGAAGAATGAACCAAACACTAGTACGCTAGTCAAGTCAGGCGCCACGGACGGGGTGGCAAGCTCCCACTTACAATTAGGTGTGTCATGAAATATTATGGAAATGTGGTAAGATTGAAATTGAGGCCCACGTACATCGACTTTCATATCAAGTGTAGAACTACGCAATTGTATAAATTACTGATAAATCGACGCATGTTATGTCACTACCACTGCTTCGGAAGTCACGCAACTAAAGGTGAGAAAGTATTGGCACTGACCAAAAACGTGCAATGCTTAGGTGATGAATACTTGAGCATCAATAAAGCCATATTCTTTACACGAGCGTTGCTGTGCTTCAGGAGTTCTGAATTATTTAGGAGCATTCTGAATGCCTCCAGAAATCCCGTTATACTATACGGCGTCTTCGGTATCCTCTCATCCATGCCCCTTATTTACGCTTGTTGAATAGACAGATGTCCCCAGAATACCGACTTATAGATACACAAAAGCAGACGCATACGCAAGACGGGGATGCAACCCCTGGGATACCAGATGGGGGAAATAACCCCTGTGATACGCAGACGGGAGTTACACTCCTGGGGGTACAACAGATGGGGGAAAACAACCCCTGGATACGCAGACGGGGAGTTACACTCCCTGGGGGTAACACAGACGAGAGTACATCCCCTGGATACAGATGGGAGTACACTCCTGGAGATACACCGACGAAAGTACATCCCGGATACTCAGGCGGGAGTTACACTCCTGGAGATACACAGACGGGAGATACATCCCCTGGAGATACACAGACGGGAGATACATCCCCTGGAGATACGGACGGGGATACACCCCCGGACTACGGAGGATACATAGACGGGAATTCAACCCTGGGTATACACGGACGGGAGATACACACCCTGGAGATACCAGACGGAGATACACCCCCTGGAAATACACAGACGGAGGATACACAGACGGGAATTCAACCCTGGGTATACACAGACATGAGATACGCCCCCCGGGGATATGCAGACGAGAGATACACGCCTGGAGATACACAGACGGGAGATACACCTTGTGGGGATCCACAGGCGGGAGATACGCCGCTTGGGGAAGCACATACGGGGGATACATCTCCTGGGTATACACAGATGGCGATACATCTCTTGGGGATACACAGACGCCCAGTGGCTACACTGTCCAGTGGATACGAAGACTGCGACACTGTGATTCACGTCTATGACCGTGTGACATGTACAAGTACGCACATCCTAGGACTCTGGCCTCGATTTGGAATAGCTGCTATTCATTTATCGCCCCCCCCCCCCTTGAGCCTGCTTTTTGTGGGTTCACACATGTCCCTACACT